CCCATCTTCTAATGGGTACTTCCAGCAGAATAACTCATAGAGCGTGATCTCAGACTGGTTTCTTGAACATGACAATGAGTTAACTGTACTCAAATGGCCTCCACAGTCAGCAGATCTCAATCCAATAGAGCACTTTTGGGATGTGGTGGAACCGTAGATTGGCATCATGGACAAGCAGTCGACAAATCTGCAGCAACTGCGCGATGCTAACATGTCAACATTAGCTGGTTGTAGCTAGTTTTAGCTGGTCAGGCTGGTTTTAGAGGTGTTTAGCCACTTTTTAGCTAGTTTTAGTTGGTCAGGTTGGTCTTAGCTAGTTTTAGCTGGTCTTAGCTGGTTTTAGCTGGTCAGGCTGGTTTTAGAGGGGTTTTGGACACTTTTTTAGCTGGTCTTAGTTGGTCAGGTTGGTCTTAGCTGGTTTAAGCTGGTTTTAGAGGGTCAGGCTGTTTTTAGAGGGGTTTTGGTCACTTTTTAGCCGGTCTTAGTTGACCAGGCTGGTTTTAGCTGGTATCTCAGTCTGACCAGGCTGGTTTTCGCTGGTCTCCCAGCCTGGCCAGGCTGGTTTTAGCTGGTCTCTCAGCCTGGCCAGGCTAGTTTTAGCTGGTCTCCCAGCCTGGTCAAGTTGGTTTTAGCTGGTCTCCCAGCCTGACCAGCTAAAACTAGCTAAGACCACCCCACCTGACCAGCTAAGACCAGCCTGACTAGCTAAAACCAGTTAAGACCAGCCAGCTAAGACAAGCCTGACAAGCTAAAACCAGCCTGATCAACTAAGACCGGCTAAAAAGTGACCAAAACCCCTCTAAAACCAGCCTGACCCACTAAAACCAGCTAAGACCAACCTGACCAACTAAAGAGTGTCCAAAGCCCCTCTAAAACCAGCTAAGACCAGCTAAAACCAGCTAAGACCAACCTGATCAACTAAGACCAGCTAAAAGTGGCTAAAACCCCTCTTAAACCAGCCTGACCAGCTAAAACTAGCTACGACCAGCTAAGACCAACATGATCAATTAAGACCCGCTAAAAAGTGGCCAAAACCCCTCTAAAACCAGCCTGACCAGCTAAGACTAGCTAGACCAGCTAAAACCAGCTAAGACCAACCTGACCAACTAAGACCAGCTAAAAAGTGGCCAAAACCCCTCTAAAACCAGCCTGACCAGCTAAAACCAGCTTGACCAACTAAAACCAGCTAAGACCAGCTTGACCAGTTAAAACCAGCTAAGACCAACCTGACCAATTAAGACCAGCTAAAAAGTGGCCAAAACCCCTCTAAAACCAGCCTGACAAACCAGCCATGACCAGCCTGGGAAACAAGCTAAAACCAGCTTGGGTGACCAGCTAAAACCAGCCTGACCAGCTTAGGCTGGTTTAAGCTGTTTTTTTCAGTAGGGAATTGTTTAGGAACCGAGGGATTATATTCCAGGGCTCATATTTATATATGTTTGCATATAAACCTTCCTAAAAGTGGAGGAACGGCAGATGCAAAGTCAATATTTAAGTTTTAATATTATACTTCCCTGCTAAAAAATCCAGCTTAAACCAGCCTAGGCTGGTTTAAGCTGGATTTTTCAGCAGGGTAAGAATATGTTTACTTAAACATGCGCGGATTAGCACCATGTGAGCCCTTTAAGAGTGTGGGTTCACTGAGAAAGTGTTCATTCACCAGTGCATTTTAATCGTGAGTTGTTGTGTCGCAGCACATGTAGAGGTGGTGAATGGTCCTGTGTTGATGAGGAATGTTCAGGAACATGTTCGGTGTTTGGGAATGGACAGTATCAAACATTTGACTCCAAATGGTACAGATTCGACGGAAACTGCCAGTACACCTTGGCTAAGGTAAGCGGGAAATCACCTGTATTCGGGTGACCTTGGAGTTGGATATATTACATATAAACCATTTGAACGCTGGCAGAAGTAGCTTGGTCAATCAGTTACTGAATCAATAGTATGAAACAATAATAGACAATTGTTGTTTTAAACGAAGCAGTTCACCTGACACCTGATGATCTGATTGAAGGTCGTTTTTTCTTAAAGCAACACTTCCCAACTTCCCACCATATACATTCAGATTGTTTTGGCATATAATTAGCTCCATAGTAATGCTTCTTTAAAGGAGCACCCCACCTATTATCGGTTGTTTTTTTTAACGCCAATGTTAGATTTGATTTTGATTGTAATATGACGTGCTTTTTGACAGTTTTTGGAGGTGCAGTTGTTGTAAATTTATATACATAAGATGTACCTTACAGTTAAACAGTAGAGTTTTACCTTTTTTGAATCCATTCAGCCAATCTCCAGGTCTGGCGGGAGCCCTTTTAGCTTAGCTTAGCATAGATCATTGAATCAGACTACACCGTTAGCATCTCACTCATAAAAAAAAAAAAAGATTTACAAGGATATTATGCAGCATGGTTACCTAGTTACCTATCTTGGGACTATTTTCAGGTGCTGCTTAATATCATTGCCTACTGTAGCTATGGATTACTATGCCAAAATGAGGGTATAGTACCTAGCCATATTGACCTAGAAAATAGGCTATGAGTCTTAGCATACGATGTAACTAAAGAAGAGTCAAGCTTTAACTTGGAGACCTAACAAAAGTCTTTTATTCTTGAGCAAGAAGCTTATGATTTAATCCGATGCAATGATCTATGCTAAGCTAAGCTAAGCTAAGCTAAAAGTGCTCCCGCCAGACTTAGAGATAGGCTGAATGGATTAAAAAATGTTAAAGTCTGATTGTTTAACTGTATGGTACTGTAAAATAAGCCTGAATCCAAAAAAACATTCATAATAATAAGTGGGGTGTTCCTTGTAAAGGAGCATTATTATGGAGCTAATAATATGCCAAAACAATCAGAATTTATATGGTGTTCATTTGAACTACTGACAATTGTAATTGAATAAATCTGAATTATTATATGCTGTTAAAAATATTTTTGAATTTGAATTTCTGACTTTAAATGCGAATTTCATAACTTGAATATTGAATATTGTAAATTTGGGACTGAATTTTTAGTCTACTCTTGCCTGTTGATCACCCCTGGCCTACTTTCTGCTGAATCTGAATTACACGATCTGAGTTTCTGGTTTTGAATTTGAGATTATTGAATTTCTTCGTCTTGAAAACTTGAAACTGTATTTTTACAAAGCCAAAATCTGCAGTGTAGCAATTCAGAACACAAAAAATCAGAAGTTTAAAAATGCGTCTATAAAAAAAATTCAGCCTCAGTCGAGATATTCAATGTTCAAGTCATGAAAATCAAATTCAAATGAAGAAATTCTGATTTTAACGGCATATACAAATTTTTAAAGATTTTTTCAATTACAATTATCAATAATTTAAATGAACACAATTCTAATTCAGATTGTTTTGGCATATTATTAGCTCCATACATGACTGAGTTTATCTACACCAGAGATGTCCAAACTCAGTCCTGGAGGGCCGGTGTCCTGCATAGTTTAGCTCCAACTTACTTCAACACACCTGCCTGGAGCTTTCTAGCATACCTAGAAAGAGCTTGATTGGCTGGGTCAGGTGTGTTTAATTAGGGTTGGAACTAAAATATGTAGGACACCGGCCCTCCAGGATTGAGTTTGCGCACCCCTGATCTACACAGTCAAATTGTCAAATATATCACTCTACAAAATCCAACATTTTTTAACCTTATTTTTTTTTTTGTATAAGGACGCCAGTTCAAGAGGGAGCTTTGCAATTAAAACCGAAAGTGTTCCTTGTTGTGATGAATCGTTGACGTGTTCCCGCGCCATCTCAGTGGAGCTCCTGGTAAATGCTGCATATACAAAGTGTGCGTTTCTAATTACAAATTTACAAATTAACTAACTGTTTATAATCCGACAGGGCACCGTCACTCTAATTCTGAGCGATATGAAGGTAACAGAGAGACTTCCAGCAGGGGGCGCTGTGCTGGCAGAGCCTCTCTATTCAGTCCACATGGTGGGCCTTTACATCATCATCTCAGCTCCCAAATTGGGCATCACTGTAATCTGGGACAAACATACCAGGGTCAGCATTCAACTGGAGCATCGGTGGAGAGTAAGAGGTTTTTTGTTTTTAGGATTTGTATACAGCCGTTACTTTGTGATCTTATCACATGTAAAATCGACAAGCTCTCCTGTTAAATTTTGACTCTGCTGTGGTAAATCAGCTGTGTAATGTCTCTGTTGCTTGTGTGGGTTGGGGTTAGGTGTGAGGTGTTTGAATAACTGTTGAGAACCGGGTTAGTAATTTTGAAAGAGGTTTCGAGCAGCCACTGCGATCACCCTGCTGAAAAATCCAGCTTAAACCAGCCTAGGCTGGTTTGCTGGTATTAGCTGGTCAACCAGGCTGGTTTTAGAGGGGTTTTGGCCATTTCTTAGCTGGTCAGGCTGGAAAATGACCAGCTAAATCCAGCTAAAACCAGCTTGACTAGCCTAGCCAGGCTGGGAGCCCAGCCAAAACCAGCTATGTCCAGCTTAAACCAGGCTGGTCAAGCTGGTTTTAGCTGGATTAAGCTGGTCATTTTCCAGCCTGACCAGCTAAGACCAGGCTGGAAACCAGCCTGGAAGTGGCCAAAACCCCTCTAAAACAGCCTGGTTGACCAGCTAAAACCAGCCAACCAGCCTAGCCTGGTTTAAGCTGGATTTTTTAGCAGGGTTTTTTTACATTCTTCAGAAACCTTCTGACTACTACATTCAAAAGTACAGGTCTGAGCCAACTATCACTGTCTGATGTTTCAGCAACTATGTGATTTAAAGTCCTGCTCAAACGATGTTCGAGAACTTGCTTTGCAAACTTTGTGACCTGTGTACAGGAGGCCAGATGGTGCTGCATTTCCAATAACAGCTGTTCCTCCGAGAGCCACAGAATCTGCTTCTGCTAATGAGAGGTTGCGCTCACATACTGATGCTCTGCTGCACGTTCACCCAGATTCAGGCCTTTGCTTTCATTAACATTTGCCCGTGTGTGAATATAAATATGAATATCTTCAAATTACAACCACCGCTATGCAGGTTTGGGCTTCTCAAGGCCAATGACACTCTATAGGCCAATTTAATGTGAACTCTGCCTTGGCCTCAAAAGTTTCCTTTCCTGCCTGAAGCGCTTCATCTTCTGTCTTGTTGCTTTATTTAGTAGTTAAGAGCCATAGTGAATTAATCTTTGAATAATATAGTTGAGAACAAAGAGCTCTGCTCCTTATTGATAACCCTTTGCATGTTTTAAAATGACTGTTCTGTGCTCAACCCAAAAAGATTGATTATCTATCTATCTATCTATCTATCTATCTATCTATCTATCTATCTATCTATCTATCTATCTATCTATCTATCTATCTATCTATCTATCTATCTATCTGTCTGTCTGTCTGTCTGTCTGTCTGTCTGTCTGTCTGTCTGTCTGTCTGTCTGTCTGTCTGTCTATCTATTTAATCTGTGTCTGTCTGTCTGTGTGTCTATCTATCTATCTATCTATCTATCTATCTATCTATCTATCTATCTATCTATCTATCTATCTATCTATCTATCTATCTATCTATCTGTCTATCTGTCTGTCTGTGTGTCTGTCTGTCTATCTATCTATATTTGTCTATCTATCTATCTATCTATCTATCTATCTATCTATCTATCTATCTATCTATCTATCTATCTATCTATCATCTATCTATCTATCTATCTATCTATCTATCTATCTATCTATCTATCTATCTATCTATCTATCTATCTATCTATCTATCTAATCTGTGTCTGTCTGTCTGTCTGTCTGTC